ACATCCGAAATGCCACAAAGTAAGTTGTGTGCGGACACTATTTGGTAGAGTGCAAACACACTGCAGTACCACGGAGGCAAAGCAACAAGAAGTGAAGCATCTATTTAAATGTTTCTAACTCAACGGATATCCACGAAGCTTCATCCGAAGGTGTCTGAACCACAACAAACCAAACAGACTGTCTACACCAACGACGGTGAGACGCGTTGTTTTACCTTATATGAAGAAGATATCCGAAATGGCAGCAAGACTATTCAAACAACATCACTTCATCGTAGCACACAAACCAACTGCTACACTGAGAAAAACTCTGTCGAAACCGAAAGAGAAACTGGAAGCTCATGAGCAAAGCAATGTTGTATATAGACTACTTTGTAGAAATTGCGAAAAGGACTATGTTGGCCAAACAGGCAGAAAAGTAACAACACGATTACAAGAGCACAAAAGAGCATGCAAAAGACACTATGCATCTTCGCTAGTCTCAGCACATGTGGATGAAAAAGAACACAGCTTTGATTGGGCCAAAACAGAAGTCCTGGCACGAGGTGAAACAAGAAGAGCAAGGGAATTCCTGGAAGCGTGGTTCTCAACACTAGACTCGATCAACATGCACATCTAGGTTGACCCAGTTTACCAACCCCTCCGCCGGAGAGAACTTAGAGAAATTATGAGACGCCGCTTGAATAGGAACAACCCAAGCGACGACCTCCGCCACGGGGAAATGGGTAGAGATCACTGGGCACTGATCGAAGCCTTCACTTTCGAAATGTCACCTGCACGCCGATCACTGGTCGACAATTCAATCAGCGAGATTACACTCCACATCTCGACGCACTGATGATGCCGTCTCGCATGACGGTGAAACGTTTGCAAACCAATTTCGCGGCTCGGCGAACAAATGAGCAACTGAATTATAAACCCGAGCTACCAGTTTTCCAAAACATTTTAAATAATCACGGGCGTTCAACACTCCGCACTGCTCGCCGTTGGGAGGACTACGCTTGCAGACAAGCCTCTACAAGGCAACAGCTCTTCTTCCTTCATGAATGCCTGAGAAGGGACATTTTTCCCCGCAGTGTTAGCTACAAACCGCCGATTAATCTTCCACAAGCGTGGGAAGCCGCTCGGCAATTTGGCAGGCGTATGCTACGGCTGATGATCACCGACGCTCACAATCGACTCAAGAAATATGAACGATGTCTGGACGAACATCGGTCTACCTGTCTTCAAATTATTGGAGAACAACTAACAGAACAACTTGACGCTGCAATAGAACGTCGGGCAACAAACACTAGGACAAAGAAACATACTGCACTTCTCGATAAGTTATCAAAACTGACCTGTGCTAAAGACAGAACTACTAGTGATAGCTGGATCAGAAATTTGTCTAAACGACAAATTAACGAATCGGAACAGCAAGTCCTCATCAAGGGACTAAACTATAACTTCAAAGATGCAGCAACTACAGATTTCCTGGCAGCATTCGAAAGCGCTCTACAATCCAATGGAATTGAGGAAGAGACTCAAAAGCAAATAAGACACACTATTGTTCCAGCTATAATGCGCAACAGGCAGTACAATACCCTAAGCAGACAAGAAAAGCAGGCAATAAAATCCTTGAAGTCTGACGAAACGATCATCATCCTGCCGGCAGACAAAGGACGGATGACTGTTATAATGGATAAAGAGGATTACACTGAGAAAGCTTTACGTCTCTTGAACGACACAACGACCTACAAGTGCATTGACACCGATCCAACCTCACAGCTGGCAAACAAATTAAACAAAACGTTGAAACAACTTCAAGAAAAGAATCAAATCACGAAGGAGGAGAGCGAACGAATGAGAGCCCGTGACTCGAGCATCGCGCAATTCTATGGACTCCCAAAGGTACACAAAGATGATGCACCATTACGACCGATCGTGTCACTACCAGGAACACCCACCTACAACTTGGCGAAAGAAATGTGGAGACGCCTCAAACATCTGACCTGTGGATCGCAATATTCCATTAATAATGCCCAGCAATTTCTACAAAAGCTCAAAAACCTGCGAATAGATGATGATGAAACAATGATATCTTTCGACGTGACTGCCCTCTTTACGTCTGTAAACTTACAAATGGCAACAACAGTCATCACAGAACGCCTGAACAGCAGTGAACAACCAATCGGGAACCTAACGACCGAAAACGTATGCAAACTACTGCAGTTGTGTCTGTCAACCTACTTCTCTTTCAACGGGAAGATCTACGAGCAATTGAAAGGCGCACCAATGGGATCACCTATATCGGGACTCATCGCGGAGATGGTAATGCAGAAATTGGAGGGAGATGTACTCCCACTCATTAATCCGAAACTGTGGGTCCGATATGTTGACGACACTTTTGTGATCATCAAACGCAATCAAGTTACAGTCGCACAGCAGCTATTGAACAACGCCATTGAAGACATCCGGTTTACAATGGAAATGGAGAAGGAAAACCAACTGCCTTTCCTGGATGTCTTGGTAACCAGAACCATGGAAGGGAGGCTGCAAACATCAGTTTACAGAAAATGGACACATACGGACCAAATTCTGAATTTTAACAGTAACCATCCGAAATGCCACAAAGTAAGCTGTGTGCGGACACTATTTGGTAGAGTGCAAACACACTGCAGTACCACGGAGGCAAAGCAACAAGAAGAGAAGCATCTATTTAAATGTTTCCAACTCAACGGATATCCACGAAGCTTCATCCGAAGGTGTCTGAACCACAACAAACCAAACAGACAGTCTACACCAACGACGGAGAGACACGTTGTTTTACCTTATATGAAGAATATATCCGAAATGGCAGCAAGACTATTCAAACAACATCACTTCATCGTAGCACACAAACCAAATGCTACTTTGAGAAAGTCTGTCGAAACCGAAAGAGAAATTGGAAGCTCATGAGCAAAGCAATGTTGTATATAGACTACTTTGTAGAAGTTGCGTAAAAGACTATGTTGCCGAAACAGGCAGAAAATTAACAACACGAATACAAGAGCATAAAAGAGCATGGAGAAGATACTATGCATCTTCGCTAATCTCAGCCCACGTGGATGAAAAAGGACACAGCTTCGACTGGGCCAACACAGAAGTCCTTGCACAAGGTGAAACATGAAGAGCAAGTGAATTCCTGGAAGCGTGGTTCTCAACACAAGACTCGATCAACATGCATATCGAGATTGACCCGGTTTACCAACCCCTCCGACGGAGAGAACTTAGAGAAATTATGAGACGCCGCTTGAATAGGAACAATCCAAGCGACGACCTCCACCACGGGGAAATGGGTAGAGATCACGGGACTCAGATCGAAGCCGTCACTTTGGAAATGTCACCTGCACGCCGATCACGGGTCGACAATCCAATCAGTGAGATTACACTCCCTATCTCGACGCACTGATGATGCCGTCTCGCATGACGGTGAAACGTTTGCAAACCAATTTCGCAGCTCGGCGAACAAATGAGCAATTGAATTATCAACCCGAGCTACCAGTTTTCCAAAACATTTTAAAGCACCACGTTTTGTTACCATTGCCTTGATTTCCATCTGCTGAATTAATTTTGCCCTCTTCAGACCTTGCGGCACCATACATTTAGCAGACAAAACAATACCCTTCTCAGTAAGCGGTGTCCAGTCATAAGTATTACGTGCCCAAGCCAAAGCAATTTTTGTTCTAAGCAATCAGCTTGGGTATCATTGCCTAGCCGTCGCCTACGCACAACATCCTTACGGACATGCTAAAGCCATCCGACACCAGCAATGCTTTGCATATAACGATTATCAAAGACTTGAATGTGCCTCAGAGCTTCAGACCAGAGGAGCCATATCTTACTCCCTACAGCAGAATAGCCCTCACTGTGGCCTTGTAAAGACAGCTTTTCAAACGTTGTGAGCTGCTTTCTTTCGGCAAAGATGTCGCAGATTCAAGGAGGCGGTATTAGCTTTTATCATGCTTCCACACAACTCATTCTCAGTAATCCACATTCCCCGAAGGATTAAAATGACCGCGAATACTTCCAGTTACTTTTTCTCCTCAATTCAGGCAGGTCAGCATTGATACTAGAACGCACCAATGTTGGTAAAGCTCCCGATAGCATTCTCATTGGCTGAGAATCCTTTTATATAAGTAGGGAATTTTGATGTAATTATCTGAAAGTTCATCGTAGCAGGTTCCAAATCAAATAGTCGTCTACATGCCCTAACAGTATCTAAATGCTATGTCGCACATAGCTGTTGTCTTTCGGGGTCAACCCTGTCGTCTGCAACGTTCTTAACTTGCATGGCAGTGGAGAATAAAACACGCCATATCACATCTAACTTCTAAATCATAGCGGTCCGAAGCTGTCCCCCGTGGCCTAGTGGCATATACTGCTGACTGGCGGTGCAAGCCGCTAGTCGTTATGGGTTCAAATCCTGATGAATGCGCACTACTGATGATACCCAGCATGATGAAACTGCGGTCTAGGACTTATCTGGGCATGTGGAGAACTATTTGATTTGAAAGCTGGTGCACCGAGCTCTGTTACTGATATGATAGAACACTGCCAATATGAACCTGGTTAGGTCTCGTTTCGACCACTTTGCTCAAATACCATACATAAGATACCAAGAACGCATATGCATAAACAGATCGATCGCTATGAGGAGGTTTGGGCATGAATATGCTAAAGTACTTTTTGTTGGTATCGTGTGCCAATGTGAGGTAGGATAAAATCGAATTACTTAGTATTTTTAACACAAAATCAGTAAAACACGCGTCAATCGCTTGCAAACAAAGTGATTGTTCCAGGTGACCTGTAAGAACTCCAGGTGTATTTAAGTGAACTGATATGTTTTTTCTCCAGAACATGCTTTATTGTGTACCTGCACAATCATACGTACCGGGTGCTTATCGGCAGCCATGTTCCTCGGCACGAATATGAACATTGCGCTGGGTAGAACTGCACACCATGTCTGTGACAGGCATGCACTACACAACTACAGCAACGGAAACTATGTTGTAACTCACTTGAGGTTTGCATCGGCCCAAGTATTCCGCTGCTTTCAAAATGCGATCGGTGAAGTGTTCCAGTGAGATAACACCTCGTGACGCTAAATGAGTGTACAAGGCGTCAGTTACCGTTTCCGATGTGGGCTGTGAATCGAGCTGACAGCACATTTGCGTCGTGTCTAGATCGGTAATACACGTGACTCCTTTTTTCTCATTTGTGCAGCTGACACATTCAGCTGCCCCATTTGGTGTCAAAAATCTAGGTAGAACGAATTTCCTCCTGTCCGGTCCCAAAGCTGAAGAAAGCTTCGGCACGGGAGTAGAAGAATCACGGAAACACGCCAAATCTGGTTCCAGGGTTGAAGAGGAAGTTAGATCCAGTTGACAAGTTGAGATAACACGGGAGTTCAATACTCTGCTCACTTTTGGATTCCGAAGACAATTAGACTCGCTCATCGATGGAATCAATCGGTCGGTCGCAAGACGGTCAGATGCCTCTGTGTCTAAGTCTACTCTCGTGGACGCGTCGGCTGATGTTGACCTTGTCAGATCCGTTGATGCTGGGCTTGTTCCGCGCTGCGACGAAGATGGGGAACGATGACAGTATGACGAGACAGTGTTTGCACCATACGGCGAGTTTTCCGGTTGCGAACGAGGTAGACCATGTGAAATCCACGTATCGACCATAGATTGTTCACGTTGAGGGTTGTCATTTGATCTTCTGTCCAAGTTGGTCATTGCTACTGTTCGCATTGCGTCAGGCGATGATCTACCTGTTCGGTGCTCATAAAGCCCACTATCACTTGCTTGATGAGCTGAACGATGAATTGTACCAATTGGGCCTAGATTCCCTTCCTGAGAGCTCTGTCGCATCCCAATAAGGGATGGAACGTCTGGGAACTGAAAAACACGATTGGAGTCGCTGAGAAATTGGTCAATGGACAACATGCACCCGAAGTCACAAGTTTAACAGCACACTCGAACAAAATGTACAAACCAAGACTTGTCCTCATTGGGCCGTTTTTATAGACATTGATGGAACGGAAACCGGAGGCCCTTCTGTTAATGTGGCATACTTAGTTACTTTAATGAACTATGACTTCTCCCCAAATCTTTGTGAAAAACAATTACGGAAGAGATCAATTTTCATAAGCTATATTGTCGTCAGTTGTTTGAATTGCATGACAGGTAGAGTGCTTTGTTCCGATGTGCCCTCAAACTCCAACCAGTACTAAGGCTATTGTCAGGATAAACAGTTAATATTCTACATAATGATAGTATGACTTACTGTAGTTCACAAGTAATAGTTGCTTTAAAATCACTAACTACTGAGACTAGATTGGATCTAACTGCGTTGCCAAGAAAACCCTATCTCACGGTTTTAGAGGTAGCTAAGGGTAAAAACCACTCCGTCCGGAAAGCTGTTTCGAGTTAATGGACTAAACTTTGAGTGGCCAGTAATAAACAATCCTATCTCGAGGACGCTTTGAGGTATGTGGGTTGGGATAGTTGATTCCGCTCGGAAATACCAACATAGTACGACACAACCCAAGAATGCTGGATCCGAGTATTACAAAATAACCGAAAAATTATCTGCGCACCTGCATGCACAACCGCTTGCTGCCAGAACTAGGTCATTTTCCCACTGCAGTGAAGGAGAGTAGTGATATCTTTAAGTCACAGCTTTTTAAACTTAAGATTGTAAACCATATTATACATGCGCTAAGTACAAAAGAACTCAAAATTGGATTGGAAGTACCCGCTGTGTGATTGGACTGCGACAAGCAATCTCTATTCAGACCTCTGTTCACTTTGAAGTATACATTAATCATTACGATCACCAGGGAGTAACATCTCTTTTACGGATCCATCTAAGGCCATAATTTTTGCATGGTCTTCCTTTCAGTAAGTCTAAAATAATCATGTCTTCGACTGCTTACCATAAAAAATGATTTCTTATCATTGGTGGATTTTCCGTTCGTGTGAAACGTCCAGGGCCATTCGTACTCCTTTGATTTATGTTTCCCGTTGTCCTTGAGTGTCGTGCCCGCTTGACGGTGCTGATCGCATGTGGGTGTTTCGGCGCTTCGGATGCTTTGCTGGCGCAAACTGGACGGATGTTGCTGCTCGGTAGTTCGCTCATTTGGTCCGCATTGGTCGACCTGCACTCCAGGAGAAACCGTGCCGCACGACGTCTCATCACCCATACTCATAGATCGCTCCCTGTTTCCTGTCTGGAATGCTGCAGTGTACCGGTTTAGAAAAGCTTTGGATGGGGATATGTAAGCATGCATACTTGTGCTTGGCGCGGTGTTACGCAAATTGTGAAATTTGGCTGTTCTGCCACACGGCTCACAGCCAACTTGGTCGAAGATACACGAAGCCGCAGTTGGTCCATCATCACTCGGTTGAGTGTACACTTGCACCCCATTGCGAATATAGGTCAACTGATCAAATGCACGGTCATCCTGGTCGTCAGTTTCAACAACAACCAAACGGCTACTAGAATCCACTGTTGGTGGAGAAGGAGTGGATACCGACGTCCGCAAACTTTTGTCTTCGGTCGTTTTCGGCTTCACGATTGGTGCGCTTGCTGATAACACCGGTGTACTGCGCCCCTCCGTCGAGTGACCGGTTGAGGCCCAAGTGGTTAGCTGAGAGCGCATGGCTTGTGCACGCGTCAGTGTGAGATTGCTATCCACTGGCTCAGGTTTCAGCATGTTATCAGAGTGTACCGACCTCCGTCTGTCGGTTGCATACTCTTTGGAGGCTAAAAATTTCTGGTGATTCTGCAGTTCTGAATCAAGTGACCCGTTGGATTCATCCTCCTTTGTCTCGGTCGCTGTGATCTCAGCGTACCCCGAAGTGCCTTGTTCGACGGCTGCATAATTATGATATCGGCCGTTTATCAGTACTCCGTCGTCGATGGTGTCACCTGGTAGCAAGTGGTCTAGGAGTTTAGCATTTTGCCAAGAAGCAGCAACTTGAACAAAATTAAGATGATTTTCTGTTTTCACCATCGCATTGGCAGTATCGCCGTCATATGCATATGAACGACCTGAGTGTTGCTGGCATTTCCCCTCTTCCGTCGAGCTACGACCGGAATGTAGAGCGAGTTGGATTGCGGAACTTTCAAATTCTGTTTGTGTTCTTAAGGCATGTCTCGCATATTCTTGTCCCTCCCTTTGACCGTATGACCGAGAAGCCTGGGCTAATTGTAGGATCCCAATAGTGGACTGTTTCATTCCTGGGGAGGCTATGCTCAGAACCGACTCATTTAGCTTTGTTTCACCTGAATGGGATAGTCTAGTTCGCAATTCTGTTAAATCAGGGTCATACTTAATTTGATCATAATGGAGCGTAGTTTGGCTCAGCGACTGCATCATGAGACCGTCAGGAGACAGAAGCTCGGAATCATGCATCATCAACTTTTCTATGGAGACTTCCGGCCCTCTTTGCTCCCGTTTGGATAGGACGTCCATCCTTAAAGGATCCCTGCGTGAATCTGATAGACACCCTGTGTGCATACCAGTGATCGCGGGTTCCGCTCCCCTCTGCCCACTATACGATGGTAATACAAAGGTTTTGGACGCATTCAAACCTTGTGAAAATGGAGTTCCTGGTCTATCGGTTACCCCTCCACAAGTTGTTTGACTGGGAGCATACCTTGAGTGTTGTGGCAATGTAAGGGTACTGGATCCAGTAGAATCATGACCGTACAACGCTTGTCCGATCTGCCCGCTTGGCTGATAGTCAGTGTGAGACGACCGGAGTCGTATAACGTTTACATTGGGTACCGTGGGGCTATTGAGGATGGCGTACGGGTTAGAAAGAGAACTATTCTTGTGGGTTCCGTATTCATCACCTCTACATAATCCACTGTCTTGCCCAATACATATCTGCGTATATCCATGGGAAGTAGACAAGGAGTTCGAGAGATAGGATTTTGAGGAGGACTTTGAATAGGGGGATGAGCACGCAGCCACAGCTGAGCGAATTTGTTCAATCTCGATGGCACATCTGTGTTTGACAGCGTTCGGTTGACGTCCTATTCGACTGCCTGAAAAATAATGCAGGTCACATCATAATTCACATAGAGAATAAACTGGAAGATACTCACCACGAATTCAATGGGATCTTTTTAGCTAAGAATATCTACTTAACGAGTGCAGCTTAATTGTGATCGTTGCTGAGTATGTGCGTGCACTAGCCGGTTTGATCCACCGAGAATAACCGGGTTGGAAGGTTCACACATCCTCCCCCGTATTTGTGATAATTAGACACGTGGTGAGATTGTCTTCGCACACGTGTTACATGGAAGTAGCTGTCTGACCAGCATCTTTCCAAAGTATGCAGTGTTCAACTCTATGAAATCAGTCGCTTTGCACCGGAACTACTCACATGGGTTTGTTCTGGGTCTTTGATATTTGGAGGGTATTATTAATGCCATATATACATATATATGTGGTAAAGTCTTTACACAACGAATGTGATGTGGCTCGCGCTGATCAAGGAAACCGTGAGTCTACGGTTTGAGTTTCGTCCCTTCGTTTCGAATGACAAATGCCCGGATGTTACGGCATGATCTGGTGCTAAACTGGCATGAAGGTGTGTAGTGATGCAATTCCCCAGACCACCTTTATAAATTCTGATTATTTTAAGATAACAGCAAATAAGCACCTGAGAATGACCTGCATACGCAATGGGAGTTGTGTGGTGATAAAACCCTTGAAGTGGCTAAACGTTTCATATAATTTCTCACTATGCATGCAGTTCGTAGGCCAACAGTTGTGGAAAACCTCTCCTCATTATCGGGTACCCGATGATTGCATGATCTGACACGCCCACAAGGAACTATTTATCTTACTGCCAACTTAGAAATGGCTAATATGCCCCTTTCGAATCCTACCAGGCTTCTATCATTACCGGAATGCTGTGTTCTCATGCACTTGCTGAACAGTGAAAAACAAGAATCTGAAGTCAATGTTTCCGTACTAATCGCTTGGTATCCCTACTAACTGTCTCATGTGAAGTCAAGGAGTCGCTGCTGTATATGATTGCTAGGTTACATCACCTTAAGGAGGAATAATACAAGCCAACATACCTTCTCACACAGACGGTAAGCCATTTATCATAGCATAGATGTGTGTTCTAATCATGTTTCACACGCCGAGAGAAATTTCGATCTACCCAAAATAGCATTTAGGAACTCGGGCCTTGTGGGGTAACTAACCCATGCTCTCTAAAAAAAGCTTGTGAATTGTGTGGAATTTATGGTAATCTTGTGCTCAGCCCCTCGCGCCGTTACGGACAGTGAGTTGAAAGGGATGTGACCTGGATAAAAATGCCAGTTTGATGTTCTAATCGCAGGGCTGAACTTACTACCGTAAAGTTAAAGATGCTCACCATCCTTTGACATTCCAACTGCTAGACATCGGCGATATCTGCAACTTTTGCAATTGTTCCTGGTGGCTCCGGTCACTGTGCAGTTACCTCCATTACGGCATGTGTAACGTTGGCCTTCTCGCTCATTGATAGTTCGCCTGAAGAATCCCTGTCATAACATGGTAGAATAGATGGGTTTTATTTTTAAAAAATCTAGATGGCAAAAGTCTTCACATCAAACTACGGTTGACAGACAGCACAACAACATAGAGGTTCAGGTCAAACAATTAACTGACATTGCTAGATAGTGCACTTCTTTCGTTGTCGCATTGACTCAGTCAACCAGTTCTCTTGCCAGTCATCGTGCAGTTTACCTTACTTACTAACTATGATTTGAGTAGTAAGTATGGAAAACGATATCAGGGAATGAACAAAGAGAGATGATCCCAATGAACTACTCTGCCAAGTGGCTCTGTGCCAAGTTTGCATCCCGGTACCTCAGTACCAATGGCTTGAGTCACTTTAGCGAATAGGCTGTTTTTGTGCCAAAAGCTCGCATGACTTAGAAAATATCGGTGGTATGGATCAGTCCCAATAAGGCGAACTGAGCTTAAGCGCATTTCGACACATGGTGGTGTAACCCTGGCATTAGACTTCAAATACTCCTTAAAGACGGCAAACGCTGTGCTCGGTTTGCACTTTTTCAACTAGTAAATTATGCCCATGAGAACGTGAGTACCATGCAAACCCTACTAGTGCGTGCGGCACTTTCATCGTAGACGCGATCTGCAGAAGTTTCCTCAGTTTACATCGACCGTTTCGAATAGTCCCTTCGAGTGTGTGAAAACTGGTGGCGTGTTGACCCGGTATTCTAGCAAAACCTTATACTATGCAGGGGAGAAGTACATGCCGAACCATATATCGCCAAGCGTCAACTATTTGAGTTGCATCCGCATTGCATCTTTTTTCCTATACAACAAAAGACATATCATCTACGCAATTTAATTTTGAACCAGCCATTCAATAGAATCTCTGCTCTATAAAATGAAAAAGATGGTATAGAATCAACCACCGTCATTTAGACCACAAAATAGAGGTGGGAGGGAGGTAAACCCAAATGTATGCCACTTGTCGTGTTGAATTGAGAGAAACGTTTTCCCTAGACGCCTAAAAGATCACGGTGGTACGGTATAGACATATACCGTCGAAAATAGGTAAGCTAAAGGGAATCGAAGGCTGTCTTCAGGTAGAGAGACAGCACGGCGACAGGTTATTATCAATAAAGATGATGTCGTGGCACCTATTAAAGCCTAAACATGTGGTATATTTATTCTCAGCTTTGGTGCAAGGTAGCTTGACTTTCGCCCATTCTTTTCGAACGAGTCGCCACAGTCAGATCCAAGTCAGCAACTTGGAGGCTACTTATAGCAAACTGATACTAGAACTATTTGCGCAGGACTTTCTATGGCCTCATTTTGGGATGGGTAGAACGGTTGACAACTGCCATTCAGAGGGCACGTTCTTCTTGCGCCATGGCATAGAACAGGGAAGTCAAGGTGGTTGTTATTACGTCCTTACCGTTTTCAGTAGAGTTGATGGAAGTTCCTCCATGCTAGATGTATCATACTGTTTCAACAGTGCTAGATCAGCGCTATTAGATTACAAACCATATAGGTCAAACGCCAATCCAAAAACGCACTAGACGATCGTTTCGCACTACCGGGATCCTTAAGTGGCGTACATTCCTTCCGTCCCCTGCTGGAGATCGAACCCATGACCGCTGGTGGCATACACCACTGGCCAGAATTTTATGCCACTGAGTCATGGGGAAGGTAGCTGATCATCATAGAGTGAAACCTAATTGCGATATGACCCGACCCGGGTTGCGCTAGTGGTGCAACCTAATAGTGGTCATGGGTTTAGTTCCCTAGATGGGACCCGGATAATGCATATCATTGGGGAGCCCCAATAAGGCGAAATGACCTTCTGATAATTTTATGGATTGGTAGTTGACATACTTGGCTTGTAATCTACTTGAAATAAACAAAGTAAATCTTAACAAATCCCTCTACTAGTAAGTACAAGCTCATGTTACCCCTCGTCGGTAATAGAACTTGGTACCTAAACATCTCAGGTGGGTCCAAGCGCAGCAAACAATTCCGGTGCCTCAAATTTGTCAGCCTAGTTTCCCGATCGAGGTGGCTGAAATAAAGTCAGCTGCAAATCTCTTTCAACTTTGTTGCACTCATGGAAGCTATTATTGTACCTGAATGTTGAATGGATCCGATTAGCACCGATATTCTCGATGGCACTTACCTCCTCCATCTCGCGAACCCTCAGCACCTACCACCGATCTAAGTCGACTAACTGATTCATAATCGGAAGACGCCCTAGGATGTTAACAACACCTCAGTATTGATGTCACAACGTAACCGTCTTTCGTGCTTCAATTCAGCCAATCAAAGCTCCAGAAACATGTTCACCATTCGGACACATTTTGCTTCCCAGACAAATGACCTATAGTGCCTTTGCATTGCGCACTGAAGTTGATTCGAATCTACATTCAGTTCGCCTACCTTGTTCTTTCAGTGATAATTGGTTTTGAATTCAGAAGGTTGTTGTTGCACCGCAGATTGCGAATGCAGTTTACGAGCGACCGACTTCTGGATTTAGTGTCTAGTTCAGGCAGGAAGATTGAGTGTCAGTCGGCACGCGCAAGAGCATGACCGAAATCGAGACACACGCTGCAAATGGACCGACACTCCTGCACTGAGGTGCAACATCTGTAGCTGATGGTGCTGTAGTCAATATAAGTCAAGGGCAAACTAACGTCCGATAACCGTCATGTAATCCTCTGTGAATGCTTGTGACAAAAACCTGTGATATGGGTTTCAAAATCTTGGTTAGCACGCAGCTGAAGAAAGTAGTCGTTACTATCAGTACAACAAGAGTCGATCCCAAAATGGTCTTCGAGGCAATCCCTTGGCTTTGTAGGACACCAGTTGGAACAAATATGTCACTCACAATGTTCACAATGTTCGCCATTGGGGCCAGTTGGATGAGATGAGCGTTGCTATTAGAATTTGTCTCTGATGGGAACTGGACCGCTAATCTATAGCGGTTGAAAGGACATGAAGCATCTTATCTTCGGAAGCTGCTTGTTGACTCAGATGGGGTATCGAAGTCGAATGTCGCAAAGTTGACTGTTGGCTGGTGTCCAATCTGAAGGATAAATCACTTCATCTGCCGACCGCGGTTCCGACGGTGCACATACTGTGAACTGTGGACTCGACATCATCGGAAAGGTAAAGTGTGTAAGTCCTATCACTGTTGTTCTGTGTGCGTACTTCGAAGAAAGCATACATTAACCCTGTGCAGTGCGGAACCACAAGAAGCGCTGTTCGTTAATCTATCTGTCACTGTATACCAACCTTCATGATCTAATGATACCCAAGGATTGAAAGATGACCAGGCTTACTTGGTCATTTGGCTACTGAAGTCATTTGTGAACTTCTGCTGGCAAACACAAGAACAGGAATCGTGATAAGGAGAGAGAACGAAGGAAGGAAAAGGATTACCGGGGTTGGCAGTGTTTGAGTAGCTGATAGTCTTCCACTGCACACTTCCAGATAGACGTTTCATTCACGGCTCCCTAGCCCCATCCGTTGACTCAACATTCTGACCCGAAACGCAGTGGGATGAGAGTGGATTTGTGTGAAGGACCCCACTCGGAGCATTTGACTCAATAGTCTATGTGAGCAAATATCCTAGGTGTAGACATCAGAACAAGAGTCAGCCAACAAACTCGTTTTCGATGGATGCCCTCAGGCTGGTACACCACAACTGATACTAATAAAATGAGTTAACATCAGACGGGAGTAAAGTTAAAAGGGGGAAGTTAAAAGCTCTAGGTCATTTAAATGACAAGATCAAGTGCTTGGTTCACAAACTTTCAATAGCATATCAGTTGCATGTTTTGTAACAGGGGTTACTGTAATATGGGGCCAGGGAAGAAAGAGAATCTGGGCAAATTGGTTTGTGCACATAGGTCTGGGTTCTGGAGGCGGATGGTGCTCGCTTCGGTTGTTGCTAATAAGCGACATCTTACCACTCGTGTGTAGCATCCAGGTACACGGTAACCTGTAAAGTAGTAGGGAGAAGGCCCAAAGCTGGTGTGTAATCGCAGAGTCCAATGGAACCTACTTGAGGTCTATCACATCCGTCTTGTGAGCGGTCAGTACAGTTCATTTGCGTTGGACCGTAGTATAGTACTCACCTGCGACCACAGTCAACCGCAGGCAGGAGTTGGTGGATTCTCACCCATCGAACTAGGGACTGTCTGGCTTACGGTGGGTGCTAGCAAACCACTGAGCCAGGGTGGTGTCCTGCAGCCATCAGGAGTAACGCATGCAGCTCCTGCTCTACGTCAATCGAGCTGAGCTTACAACTCATGAGTGACTGCCTCCTCTGGCTAAATGTTAAAAGAAGAGAGTGGTTGTTTTCTCTCTAACCTTCAAAGAAAAGGATACTGTAATTGAGCTGGTCTGACCTTTAACCATTGATCCTTGTGGTATGAATGCTTTGAGAGGACTTGGAACTTGTCAACCAGTGAAAGTTAGTTGGTCATGGTAGTAGGGCGACCACCGCATCACGTTAGAGTATTGTCTCAGCACACTATGCTGTGTGCGAATAACTGTCGTCATTAATCCGGACGGCTGATATGTCTCATATGGAAGTAAGATCTTGGAATTGACTAGACTTTTACGATCGTTGCTGTGCAGTGCGATTATCTACAACTATTTCGACCAGCAATTCCGTGCTGGTGCAGCTGTCAAGCACTGGAACACGTATACTGCAACTATTACGAACCAGCAGTCTGGAGCCTCTTGCCAAAATTCGCTGACAGATTAACACTAAGAAATATCTTTTAAGATTAGCGCCATGACACAGTTTACTGTGAAGACAATTATAGCAGATCAACCATTCATAACTAAACTCTCCAATCTCCTTGCATAGTGTGAACGCCACTGTGAAATTGGTTGGTACAGAATAGAAAGCAGCCATAGTTCATAACATGTGCCATGGGGCACAATGTCTCACATGAATCCGCTGCGATTCCTTCAGTGTGGCTTTTCGGCATGTAATCCATCTTAGGTAAACGTTTGATCC